AAAAAAAAAAAAAAAAAGTTAAAATGGAAAATTCTCATTGCTTTAACTCATTGATAATGTGGCCTGGTTTGGTATACCTACTGCTAATAAAATATCATCATGTTGCTTAATGTTTTCTAAGTTCTCTGCTCATGTTTGTATTATTCTTTTACAAAATTTATCTTAGTATTTAAATTAGATGAACATGAATCAGATTTATTTTCTTGATTTTTTTTTTATGTTGTAGAATAATAGAGTGACTTTATCACAAGTCACAAGTCATTCTTAATGGAATTCAGTAGACTAGCTATGAGGAGCTAAAACTATGGAAGAATACTGTATTTACCCTCAAGTCCAGTACTGATTCCTGCCATGATAGGACACAGGTGGTAACACAATGTCCGTGAGAAGATGAGTCTGTGTGAGGTTCAAAGACTGTGGAAGCGCAGAAAAGGGAAACAGCCGTGTGCTGCAGGCAGAGCTGGCATAGGCCCAGGCCTGAGGAGACCGTTGGGGTTGCAAAGGAGTGTACTTCAGAGAGGCACAGCAAGGAGGCAGGCAGGGGCCCTTCTTGGAATGCTGAGTGCTTCTGTTTTGCTATGAGGTAGAAGGAATATGTGCAGGACAGTGGTGGTGGGATTATTATAGTAGATTGTGGCCAGAGAGTGGTGGATTCCAGAGGCTGAGGTAAGGAGTTTAACTTGCTTCTGAAAAGACTTCAGGGCTTTTGCAGCTCTCTAAATTGATAAATATCAATTTGGTGGTAACAATTAAGTGACCATTGGCCATCCCAGGCATCTTTAAATTTGCCATTCAGCAAAAAACTTGGTGCGTCAGCCTATTCAGAAGGATGTTTCTTTCCCTCTCGTTTGGAATTCCAAGTTGATACTGAACCACTCACACCTGGTCCCCAGTCATTAAGAGAAGAGTGACTGGCACACCAAGTAAAGTCTGTACCTAGAACAGAATTCAGCCCATGAGAAATTAATTGGCCTGCCTGAGAATCGACCTCATTCAAGCTCCTGGCCCCATCAGCTCTGTAGTCAACTGACAGAGCCAGAATCTGCATGGAAATTGCCATCTGTCCAAATAAAAATTAAAAATGTAAAAAGGACATTACACTTTAATATAGAGTAGTAATGACTCCATTACTTATTTTCTTTAAAAAAATCATTTGAAATTTAATTCCTCTTAGAAAAAGGGGATCTTAAATCTAAGAAGATACTCCACAGTGTGATTTATAAGTACATATATGAGTTTGTCAGGGAAAAAATGAAAATGTTACTGATATTGTGATCTATCCTTAGATCTTGTTTATATTATATTGGTCAACAGGGGTATAAGTTTGAAATGACTTTTATAAAATTTAGCTAATCTTTATTAAAAGATTTCTCTATGCATTTGTGTATATTCATTTCATTACTGTCCATGCTAAATTTAGGTACTTTGACTCATTCAGTCCTTTGACGGCTTCGTGAGATGTGTGTTGTTAGCCCCTTTCACTGATGAGATGCCACATCACAGCTCTCATGAGGGGCAGAGCAGGATTTGTGAGCTTAAACCAGTCCTCCAGGTGGCAAGGGCATGTGCATGGTACCAAGGAACCAAGTCGCTTGGTAAAATGGGTTCCGTATTAAATGAAACTCTAGTTCTTATCATGAAGCAAAATGAGCTCTCCTTTCAAATAACGTTATCAGTTATGGTAGTCTTTTGTATGTTTTAAGACCTTGTCAAACTAGTTACAACAGAATGAGCTGAGTATTGCTCCTTCAGTGCTAGTGCTGTAGTACTAGCTCCCAGGCTGAGTCTCCCACTCATTTTTCTGTTTAATAAAAATTTTAAAATATGTGAATGCAATTAATATAACACCATTTGCCTTTTACATTTCTTTATGTACCTTTTAAATTTTTCTTTAAAGTCTTAGATATAATTATTCATTGATTAAAATTTAAATTTTTGCATAGTATTTTATTTGGAGATTCCATAATCTCATATATTAGCTATTTTGTGTGGCCCCAAAGCAGTTTGAAAACCAGTATGAGCTGTGTCAGTGTCAGCCTTTTCCAGACGTCGCAGTGTTCTGCAGTGATACCTTGATACCATAAAAGTCAGCGCCTGAAATGTCTTCACATTCACGCTGCTAAACTACTTGTCACACTTTTCTTTTTCAATAAGATTTTCTTTTGCTCTGAAATTCATGTCTTTATGCCTTTGGTCCTACCAAATAGAAGAGGAAGTTTTTATAAGCTCAGCTATTTAGTAGAGTCAAAATTTAGGATTTTAGGCAATGTATTTCTAGACCAAGGAAAGATGAATTAAAAACAAGCAAAATTTGGATCTTATTAACTAGCATTGCAAGGTGAAAGTTGAGGATTTGGCCTGAGCTGGTTTAGAAAGTCCTGTGAGAATGCTGTGCACAGAAGAGGGAATTGCGTCGTAGCTGCTGTATGTGAGTGAGCCGCAGGCTGGAAGGCTGCACAGTCGACTTGTCTTTGCTCTGCCTTCCCCAGGGTATTTCTAGTTTTCTTCATAGAGAAAACTTTATGAAGATGAAATTTTACAACTGTCAGTTAAAACTGAAAATGTTGTTGACCTATTCTGGGTATGGTAGAGCGCACCTGTAATCCCAGCACTCCAGAGGTTGAGGCAGGAGGATTGCTACAAGTTTGAGGCCAGCCTGGGCTACATACCAAGACCCTGTCTTAAACCACCCCCGCCGATAAAATAAAAATTTTGTTGATCAGTAAAGGTCATATTGTAAACAAGCTCTGTGGGCCTAATACATCAAAATAGCAATAATATTTTTATTTTTTCCCAACAAACTCACACCTGTAACTTATCTCTGGGCTAAACTTAAGGTCCCCTAATGATGAGGGGCTTACTGTCACTTCCTGACTTGGAAGCCATCCCTGCTGAGTCACCTGGACTGTTAGATGCCGTTCCTGTGAGCTCCTGCCCTGCACTCTCCCGCTGTGTCACCTGGCATTTGCCTCCCTCTGCTATGGCTCTGTGAGCATCAGGCCTGTCATCTCACCTGTGTCCCTGTGACAAGCAGGTGTCAGTGCGTGCGCAGTAAATGGTCATGAGGCCTTTTGAGTTCTAAAACCTTTGACCTCGACACCTTTCTTCTGCGTAGTCCTTACCCCTACACCTGTGAGGTGAGCTCACTTAGAATCCCATCAACTGGAAATCATAGTAGCAGAAGCACCTTGGTTTGGATTCAGCTATCCTCCCTGGCTGTGTGGCTTTGGGCGAGGTGCTAGATTGGTTTCTCCAGGCTTTGGAGAATCTTTTTTGAATCTTTTGACCAGATGATGTTTCTGTTCCAGTAAAGCTGTGGAGCTCTGTGGTCTGGGACAGGGCAGTGTAATGAGAGACGAGTCGCCCAGCAGACAGCTGAGCCTCTCCCTACCCACCCACTAGCCTGGCCTCCCACGGATTCGTACATGTCCTCTGTGCCTTGGAGAGTTATGTCTGCGATATGCCAGAGGCAGAACAAATGCTGAAGTACTTGAAGTCATAAATATTAAATTATGTTAGAATAATTTGTGTTAATTGTATTTTGCTGTATTCTTAGGATGTGAAAATTGTTTATTCATATGTGATGTACAGGATCATGAAGATAGAAGATTAATCAAGATAGTTTATTTTTTCATCCTGGTTAATAAAGTATTTTGGAGATTTACATGTACATCTTGAAAATGGTTGAAATAAATTCAAAAAACAATTTTGAAGTGTCCTTAATGTTGGTCAGTATATTTTGCTTCCAGAAAGTTTAATAAGGATTATTAAGCAAATTCAAAACAATCTCAACAGTTTAACCTTTTGCCTTTTTGGTACTTTTCTTCATGATCAGGAATTCTGACTCTTGACATGTGTTTCTTCTTTTTATCTTATGCACTTTTAGCTCATTTGGAGGCCAGTTTTGAGGAGGTAGAAAATCGCCTGCTTCATCTGGAGGACTTGTGTGAGCAGTGTGAGTTAGAAAGATGCAGACATGTGCAATCCCAGCACCTGGAGAATTACAAGAAGAGTAAGAGGTGAGTTTAAAAATTGGAGTATTCCCATTCAGTCTCAAAGTTTTCCACACTGCTTTCACATTCTGTTCTTTATAAATTTGCACCAATAAAATACCAAGGTTTCAGCCTGTAAAGCTCATTAAGAAGATTTCCAAAACTTTCTTAAATTGCAGACTGTTGCTGTTTGTTTGGTTTTTTGTTTTTTTTTGGTACCGGGGATTGAACTCAGGACCTTGCGCTTGTGAGGCAGGCACGGTGCCGCTGAGCTAAATCCCCAGCCCTGTTGCTGCTATATAGAGAGGAGTCGTAAAAAGCTAAGAATAGAGCAAGACATGCATCTGTAGCGTGAAGATGGAGGGAAGCAGAGCAAAGGGCAAGCGTTCTGAGTGGCTGCCTGGGCCTAGTTTTTCCCCAGCAGCTGCCTTTTCTGTTCTCGCTTCTCCTTAACAGTGAAGTCAAGAGAAGCAGCCCAAGCCCAGGCTGTGGAGAGGGCTTGGATAGGACTGAATCACCACTCTTGTCACATAGTAGCCATGGAACCTTAGGCAAATGAATCTGTCTTGGCCTCAATGTCATTGTCTTATAAAGGGAATAGTAATGCACCAGTCTCGTGGAGTTGTGAGGATTGAATGAGGTAATTGATATCTAGTTCTAATAGTGCTCTGTAAGTATTAGTAGTAATGACGATGGTTATCCCCATTCAGGCCAACGTGAACTGGAAATGGAAGAGAAGTTTAAGGGCAGGAACCTGCTAATCCAGGTGTGGCCTCCTGGCCCCACAGTGACTGTCTCTCGGGCAGGGCTGGAAGTGGCATGGAAATCTCTGAAGCCCACGGCAGGTGTGACTGTGATGCTGGTGAGCAGGCATGAGACTGGCTGTCTGTGCTGGAGGCTGGCTGAGGCTGGGGAACAGGTGTGGTGGAGGAGACGGAGAGGTGGGGCAGAGGACACCACTGGTCTCACGGTTACTGAGGAGTAGAGTAGATCAGGCTTAAGGCTGTGGCAGGAGAAGGATGGAGCTGCTGTTGTGGATGGGAAGGGCTGGTCACTGACACACAGGACATTTAAAAATGTGTGGAAGTCGTAGATTATCACATTGCTGTTAGAAGTTTTCTAAAATAATGCCACAGGGTGGGACGGAAGGACATACCCAGTGTTTTAGAGCAGAAATTCTTCAGAACTTTAGGGGTGCATCTTTTCTTTTTAAAGTTTTTTATTAATATAAGCTTGTGATGCATAGTGATTACATTCAGCCTGGGGAGTTGATAAGGAGCCATAGGAACCACCTAGGGAGACAGTTTAAAATACAGACTGCTAGCTGGGTGCATACCTGTAATCTCAGCACTCTATGAGGCTGAGGCAGGAGGATAGCAAGTCCAAGCCCAGCCTGGACAACTTAGTGACTTAGGAACCCAACTCAGAATTTAAAAAATAGCCTGGACGTAGTGGCGCATGCCTGTGATCTCAGCACTTGGGAGGCTGAGGCAGGAGGATTGCTGCAAATTTGAGGTCAGCCTGGGTTACATAAGGAGACCCTGTCTCAAAAAACAAAAAGAAAATTTTTTTTTTCTGAAAATAGAGGACTGAGGAAGTAGCTCAGTGCAAAGGCACTGGGTTCAGTCTCCAGTAACATCAACAACAGAAAGCAGACTGTTGGCCTCCGTCATCGGGAAGTCCAAACCAAAATCCATTCCAGTGGCTTTCCAGGTGAGCCACTCCTTTGGGTGGTTGATGAACTGCAATTTGAGGGATCGTGTGAACTCTGCACAGAGGCTTCTGAGGAGCTCGAGGATGCCCTGGGTCAGATTGTTCACACAAGGTTTTGTGTGTGAGTCCTTCTGGAGAAGGTTTCTGTCAGCTTGATTGGCTCGTGGAGGTTACAGGAGGCTGTGTGGTCGCATTTAGAATAGAAGGACTTTTGAATGAGTGGTAAACCTTGTGGCCTAGAGAATTTCAAAACCAGCCTGTGGGAGACAAGGAACTCTATTTTCTCCCAAAAAGAAGGTGGCAGAGCTGGCGGTGGCTACGCTAGGCTAGTCTCCAGTTTTAAAGGAAAAGTTAGGTGAATATTCTGTTGTTGAAGAAGGTAAGTCACTGAAGTGAGTTATTTTATTATGCAGCAGGCATTCTGAGGAACATGGCAGGAAGGCTGGGAACTTTGGGAGACATTTTCGCAGCAGATTGGACAGCTTGGGTACAGGTTGTGTGACCCTAGCTTGTGATTTCCGTCTGTAAGATGGGGACAATAGAACCCTTAGGGTTGTCCCATGACTGTTAGTAAGGGGCTTTAGGTGGCACCTGACGCCTAGTAAATGCTCTGCCAGTCGGAGCCAGCACTCGGTCATGTAGGTTATTCAGGGCAGAACTACTGGGTAGATACATAGGTATTCGGTTTTTTTAATGCCCGGTATGTTTTTTAGCTACTTGAATACAAAAATTACATGAATAGTGTGATTGTTTTCATCAGTATGGGGTTGAAATTTGATGGTTTAAAATAGCATATAACATTTTAATACATAAAACCAAATCCCAGGTTTTGATAAAATGATTAGGTAGAAATGAAAGCAGTAAGATTTAGAGCTGTGAAATTTTGTCATGATTTTCTTCACTGTCACCCAGTGACCTAGATCCATTTTAATTAATGTATTATAACTTATATGTTACAGAATGAAAATTAGAATAGTGGATCTTTTTAATGAGCTTAAGTGTGATGAACAAATTTGTTGATAATGCCTGTTACTCTGAATATGTTAGAAAAATAGTGTGGCAACTGAAGACTACTGGTTTATAATCAGGAGCTTGATATCTGTAGATGAATGTAATGAGTGACTATCTCGCTGTGATAGGCCCACATTTCTAAGTTGTCTACTTCTCAAGGTAAACAGGAAATGAATGTCAACTGTCCTCACAGTTTTTTTTAACCCTAAGAGTTTCAGTACAGAATTTCAAGGATGAGAAATTAAATTAGTACTTTCACTGACTTTCTAGGACTTCATCTGAAAAAATTACATATATAGGTATTTGTTAATACTCATAGTGCCTTCATAAAATAAATATTTATCCAGAAATGCCAAAGCATATTGCATCTAATTATCTAGACATAATCATCTAGACATTAGACTTGTAATTTAATTGAAGTCATATTTTTACCCTGAAATGATTATTACTGAGTTAACATGTTCACAATGGAGCCATCCTAACTCCCATGTCTTGCTGCTGGGTGGCTCTGAACCACCAGTGGGACATGCATGACTGTTCCATCGAGTGGCAAGGGACAGTCCCACCGGGTGGTGCAGTCCACAGTGGGACAGTCATGCGTGTACCTCTGGTGTTTAAAGCCAGCAGGAGTATGTTAATTCACAATTACTAATAGAAATATACTTTAGGTTATTATGAAAAGTCCTTGGAGACCTGAGCTTGAATTTTTCTCTACCACTTTCGACCTGCTTGACCTTTTGCAAATGACCTATTGTCAACTTTCTTATCTGTAAAATAGAGCAATGAAAATTTCTGGCAGAGTTATTGAAAAGAGATGGGGATTTTGTTTGTTTTTTATTTTTATTTTTTAAAATATTTATTTATTTATTTTTGGTACCGGGGATCAAACTTGGGACCTTGCGCTTGCGAGGCAGGTGGCAGCACCACTGAGCTAAATCCTTGGCCCTTTATTTTTATTTTTAAAGGGTCAACTAAAAGCAGGCACACTTAGCTCACAAAATCACTAGAAATTCTGAATTCTAGTTTCTCTAAATACAAATAGTAGAAATAATAAATATGGGGCATTGTTTAAAATTTACCTGTAAACTAATCTTTCTTCAATTCTTAGCCTTTTTATTTAGCATAGAAAAGGATGAAGTACCTTTTTAAAAGAAACTTTTTAGAAGGAATTTATGTAGTCTGATTATTCACATGGCTTATTATTTAGTTATTCTATAAGTAATTTGAGCACAACCCAGAGGGTTGAGATATCAAAATGGGATAATTACATCAAAATAGTTTTGTTGATGTAGAACTTCCATTTAGTTCAATGTATTGAGCAGTCATTTATCTTTACTGAAAACTCACTAAAGTGATGATACATTTAAAAGTTATAGTTCAGAAATCCACGAAGATGAAAGAGGAAATAGCAGTGGATGAAACATGGAATGAGCAGTTTGGAAGGTGGAAGTGGCCGGGTGAGTGGAGACTGACAGAGCCTGTGGAGGGGACTCGGACAGGAAGAGTGCTGGGGGTGCCTCAGAGCGCTGGAGAGGCTTGGGGTGCACAGCACCAGGAACCTTGAAAGACGGGGTGCTGAAAGTAGGGCAGTTGGTGGAAGGTACAGACCCCTGATCCTGGCTCAGTCAGCTGATTACCCCGTCCCAGCTCCTCAGGCCGCGTGGGGAAGAGGGCGCCAAGCCCTGAAGAGCCTAGATATGTTTGAGAGTGGGTAGAGGTGCAAGGACATTGAAACCAGGGACCGAGTGCAGGTCCACATATTCAACACTGAGGCTCTTTGGGCCTCTTTCCTCCCTGGCTCCCAGAGCTCTGACAGCCACACCGCCTCCCCCATGAAGCAGACTGGAGGGCTCACCTGAGAAGGTGGCTGGAGTTGACTTGCTGAGGTGAGCTGAGGTGCACCAGCTGGGCCTGCACCCTGGCTCCCTCTGGGGAGGGCCCTGCACCACTGTGCGTGAGCTCTAGTGCCTCACTCTGAAGTGTGAATGGACAGCTGAGGAACGCTGTTCCATTAAGAAGATTTCCAAAATGAAAGGAACCAAAAGAAATAGAAGATAAACTAGTATTGGTCTTTAAATAAGCCACAGAGGAACGAGAGACTGAGGGAAGCAGAAGAAACTTTAAACTTTTTCCCATTGAGGTTCTGGGGATTGAACCCAGCATCTGAAGCATGCTAAACTAGTGCTCTGCCACTGAGTTACATGCCCAGCCCTTTTTTAAAATTTGATTTTGAGAGAGTCTTGCTGAGTTGCCTAGGCTGGCCTCCAACTTCATGATCCTCCTGACAGCCTCCCCAGTATCTACAATAGGATTATGGACATATGCCACAATGCCCAGCTTCTGCTGTTAAGCATGTATATAAGAGAAAGTAATCCAGGAGGTTGAGGCAGGAGGATCACAAGTTGGAGTCCAGTGTGGACAACTTCTCGAATTAGCAAGATCCTTTGTCAAAAAAATAAAAAGGTTGGGGGTATTATGCAGTGCCAAGGCCCTGGGTTCAATCCCTAGTACCACCAAATAAAACAAAAACAAAACAAAAAAACAAAACTGAGAAAAGCTAAGAATACCTTTATTAAGAACATTTTCATAACTCTTAGGCTATTAGTAGGAGTTTCAAAATGAGAAAAAGAAGAGAAAACTTAATAAAGAAGTAGTACAAGAAAATTGACCAGAACTAAAGGACATGAACTTTCTTCCTTTTTAAGAAGATGCTGTGCAAACTAAACCAATGATTTTCCTCTTTTTTTTCATTCTGAAGAAGAAAATGCATTCTGCAAGAGTTTGGATATATGTGTATGTAGGCATTCTCTCTTGCTCACTCGTGCTCTCTCTCTAGATATAAAATGTCTAGATATCTCGATATCTCTGTCTAGCTGTCTCCCTATATATGGTATGCTTTCCAGAAAATACAGGTCTGACAGCTGGATGGAATAGGGAGCTGAGAGGATGAAGGATAATTTCCCCCACTTTTCCCGTGCTAATGGTGGACTGCTGTACACATCTTATTCAGCCCCCGCCAGAGCCCTGGATGTGCAGGGCAGCCATTAATGAAGTTGAGAAGACTGTCTTCACCCCATTTTTGTTTGCTTTGGTTTTGGTTTTGGTTGTATTTTTTTTGAGACAGGGTCTCACTATATAGCTCAGGCTGGCCTTGAACTCACTATGTAACCCAGGCTGGTCTCAGAGTCATAGCAGTCCTCCTGCCTCAGCCTCCCAAGTGCTGGGATTGCAAGTGTGTGCCACCACATGCAGCTCAGATCCCCCAATTATGTCCTCTTGTTTGGACTTTTGAATTGTAAAAGCTGTGTCAGTCCTACGTATTGCTACCCATCTGTAGTTAAGAATGGCTATGTGCCCTTTTGTCATACATTTGATAAGTATTCCCAGCACAGGGAATGGATTGCTGCTCTTACTAAACCAGAAGTGGGACCCATACCCAGCCATATCCGTGGCTTAACTCCTGTGGTTCTCACGATGGGCAGAGGAAACAAACCTAGCTTTAGGAAACTTTCGGGGGCGATTGTGAAAGTTATCTGTCCTCGAGAAACATTCGAACAGATGGTTTACCTCAGGTATGCGGTAGGAACATCCCTCTCTAGCAGTGGTTATCTGAAGAAAGTGACATCGAAGGGACACTGGCTGCAAACTTCCCTGAGTCCTCTTCCTTCTGCCCAGAGTTTGAGTGTGGCATCTGGCTGGTGGGAGCAGCACGTGTGGCGCCAGCAGTGTTCACTGGTCCTTGTGGATGTCTCTCCCCACCTGCAGGAGTTTTGCACAGGCCTTGTTCGTGCGCTGCCACGTATTCAAGGGGAGCCCTCTGCGGGCTTGCAAGACTCTTCCTCAGAGCGGCTTTTGCTCGGTGTTGCTGTGTCTCTGCCGCTCCAGCTGCCGCAATCGATCGCCCCAGACTCCTCCGCCCTGCCTCACCCCAGAGCCCGCAGCTCTTCCTCGTTCCCCGGCTCCACTGCATCCTGCGGAAACCTCCAAGGCAAGGCAAGGCGCCGGGCAGCACAGGGCTCGCCTCACTTGTCGCTTACTGGTCAGGAACCCTCGCATCTCTTCCGGAACATCTGTGCCACACACGCCCCCCCCACATCCCTCCCTATTAACCCGGGGCCTCCACGCCGAGGTATAGCCCCAGCCCTTTTTATTGTTATTTTTATTTTTCACTTTGACACAAGGAAAGTCCTGCCTCAGGAGGGGATGTAATTGGCCCCGACCTCCCTGACAAGTCAGAAAGCAAGCCTCAGAAGAATCAGACTGTTTCCACCTAAATTAACTACCTCAGAAAAGCTCAAGAATATTGATAGGGTTACAGAAATACCAGCTCCCAGCAAGATGCTTCCCAGTGTCTGGCATGCAGTCAGGACCACTAGCAGACGTGCTGAGGAAGACAGCCAGTCCGAATTTGCCGGAACTGGCGCAGATGTTCGAATCAGCAGGCGAGGACGGCGGCGAAGACAGTTGCTGGAACTGTGCTCTGAGTTCAGCAAGTTAAGTCGGGGCATGGGAAATACCTTGAAAGATATTCCCAGAACAGAACAGAACAGAACTTGGGTCTGTTTTCTCCTTTTACTCTCTCCCTCCCTCCTGGATGGTAGAAGCCCGTTAAACTTTTTACTTTATTAGATTTATTGTAGCTTGGTAATCACACTTGCTAGGTAGGCAGTTACCTCTGGAAAACAGACTAAGTGCGATGATTTAGTTGGTTTCAAGAATGTGTAATCACATCTTGTATTTTCTTTCAAAATTAAACCTAAGCCAATGAAGTTGGCAAGGGATAGAACTGAACAAGATTCTTGCTCTCAGGATTCTGTTAGAAAATAAATCTTGGCAGTTTCTGACTTTGTACATAGTCATGAGAACAGATGTAGCTAGAATATTTAACAGTTTATTAGATCCTTGGGTTGACAGTAAATACAGTTTAGGACTGAGGATTTAAGTTCTTCAACCTTTATTTTGAACAATGACTACCTGTTTACCGTTAACATTTTTCTGTAATTGGTTTACAATACTCTTCTTGAACTTTTTCTCTCTGTTGTGCAAATGTCATTCTGTAGATTGGGGTTTATAAAGGTTTGAAAGTTTTTGTTTTTGTTCTTTTTTGGTCCCGGGGATCGAACTCGGGACCTTGCGCTCTTGAGGCAGGCAGCAGAACCACTGAGCTACATCCCCGGCCCTTGTTTTTGTTCTTTTGAATCAGTCTCACTATGTAGCCCCGGCTGGCCTTGAACTCAGAGCAATCCTCCTGCCTTGGCTTCCTGAGTGCTGGGAAGGTTTTTGTTTTTAACAGAGGCATGAAAACAAAGTATATCCTTGAAGTAGAGAGTAGGCAAGACTTAAAAGAAGGAGCAATCTTGACAAAAAAACCTTTGCTAAGCTCTGAAACTTAGCAAAACATAGTTGTGATCATCCTGGTTTTAAGAAAAATGTTACTCTTTTTTCCAAAGACAGTTTGGTTATAATGCTTGCTTGTTATAATTTACAAAGGCTGTAATAGCTCTCAATGTTTTAGAATCAGTTTATTAAATTTGGAACAATACTTTAAATGTCCTATTACAGTTTTGAAGTTTGTTTCCTCATTGGTTAGTGGGGTTATTTGTTTTGGGTTTTGGGGGCGGTATGAGAATCTGAATTTTATTTTTTTCTATTTGCAGCCTTAATATTTTTTTCTACTTTTCTATTAGTATGTATTATATACAATGTTGGGTTTCATTGTGGCATTTTCATGCGTGCCAGTTACTGTACTTTTATTTACAGATATTGTCAAAAATATGAAATTTATCAGTTATTTTTGTCTTTGTTTGAATATGGCTAAAACTGTGATGCAGCCCTGTGCTTTACTCACTTCTCTGATACTGCCCAGGGCCTCCAAGATGGGGCGAGGAGCCACACTGAGCGTCTATCTGCCTGCAGGGAAGTTTCGACAGAGTCAGAGCGCTCATCCTCCCTGCTCCGGCCTTGCTGCTCAAAGGGCTGTGCCTGGTGTGGCCACAAGGACCCAGCTCTTCTGGATTCTCTTTTTTGCCTCCCTCACCATTTCCTGTCTTCAGGGTTGGCTCAGAAAAATGATGCTGTCATTGTTTGCAAGGGGGAGAGCTTATCGAGGTAGCATTTCCTGGAAGGGCTTTCCCCAGGGTGAGCAACGTGCTCCTTCCACCGGAAGCTCCATGTCTTATTTTGCTAATAACCAGGTCTTATCCTTTTCTTGATGGCAAAAAAGTGCATTATTGTCATAAACTAACACATTTCTTTGAGGAGAAGATAAAAGTAATACGCAGCTCTCAAAGATTAAACTAGATTTCCCAGTATATCAGTTGACCTGTGCTTTTACATGGGTTAAAAGAAGCTAGGAAGTATCTTTTGAGATAAAGCACTGGGGCTGAGGATGTAGCTTGGAGACAGAGCTCTTGCCTAGCATTCACAAGACTCTGGGTCCAATTCCCAGCATTTAAAGATCTATATCTATCTATCTATCTATCTATCTATCTATCTATCTATCTATCTATATGATATACAGTATGACTAGCTTAGGAAAAGTTAAAACACTACATAATATGTTCACTTTTTTTCTTAAGTTTACTTTTTAAAGAGGTTTTTTGGGGGGGCTGTTTCTAGGGATTGAACCTAGAGCCCTTATGCATTCTGCAGCTATACTCCCACCCCCGAAAAGAGTTTCTTAATTAAAATGCATGAACAAAGTGCATGGCATACCACCATTAAAATATTATTTAATAGTAAAGGATTGTATAAACATTTTCTAAAATTAAGACGCTGATAGAGAACAAACCCATTATGCTCTTTTAAATATTTAATGTGCACTTTTCTCTTTTTAGATAAATAAATCTCTTAATAAATCAGTCCTTTAATTACCTTATGAAACTATTTCTTAAATTGTACAGCATTGTCTTACTTTCTCATTGCTGAGACACAGTACCTGACACCCATAACTCTTAGGAGAAGGATTTATTTTGCCTCACATTGCAGTTCATGCTCGTCCAGCTCCCAAGAAGCAGCAGCATGGCAGAGGGACCTGGTGAAAGAAAAGGCTGCTCACCTTATGGGAGCTGGAAGCTGAGAAATGAAGGGAGGAACCAGGGAGAGAGAGAAACCCTTCCAGGTCACCCCACAGTGACCCAGCTCTTTCGACCAGACCCTACCTCCTGACAGTTAGAATGGTGGTAATAAACACATTTACTGAGCACTAGTATGTGCCTGGCACTGTGCATAAAAACCTTAACCTGTATTGACTCATAGAATCCTCATAATGACCATTTGAATAAATGGTATTCACTTTACCAATAGGGAAAACAAATCAAGAAGAAATTAAGTAACTTGGCAGGAGTTATGGAGCCAGGATGTGGCAGTGCTGGACCAGAATCCATGTTTTTTGCCTTCGGGGTCTGTTCATACCCTGTGTCGTCTGCATGGAAAGCCACCTGTGCTGTGGAGTGTGCAAAGGCCTTGCTTCTCTTGGTGCCTTGACTGCCAGAGTGGCTCATTGTCGGGATGGATAGGGAAGGGCTTCCAGTAGTGGTGCCACATGAGCAAGAGTACATTGTATATAGGGAATTGTTTTAGGAATCACTCTGCTTTCAACAACAGCGACTGTGCCACACCTATGAGGATATACCATTTCATGTGGTAGGACAAGACAAAAATACTGAGAAGTGTCAGACCATTGGTTTGACAATAATGAGTATCAGGACAGTCCTTTAAATTTTATTTTAGGAAGCTGGCTAGCCAATTAAGTTTTGATTTAAAAAGTCAGTATTACATAGGTCATATAACTTTTTTTAAATTCCAAGTCTTCTTCATTACAGTTATCTCTCAGGTTCTTTTCAACTCTAAATTACTAAGATTTTGAGTTTCTATCGTCTTACTTTCTAAGCTGTGTGTCAAAAGATACAAATAGGGCCCAGCATTTAGCTCAGTGGTTCCACTGCCTGCCTCGCAATCACAAGGTCCCGAGTTCAATCCCAAGTACCAAAATAAATAAAGATACAAATATATAAGGCTTATTTATAGTAATAGCATGATAAACAAGGATATGGTACTGTTTTTATAATGAGCTAGCTGTCTTCCAGAGGTTTTGTTGTGTAAAGTTGAAAATGCCATGTTGGACAGGCTCCATGTAAAGAATGAATGGAAACGGACTCTCTAAGATGCCCTTGAGAACATTTACCTCAAGCTGGAAGGAGGCGCCTGCCAACCCAGCTTCTACTGTCAGCTGTGTTCAATCCACTGTGGCAAAAACAAGCAGAAAATCCAGCCAAATCAAAACAAAACTTACCCTCAACATTTTCAAATCTGAAGAAAAATCAAACTTAGAGTTGGTTTTACGATTGGCATTTTGAATGTGGTATTTTGTGTTAGCTTTTTATCATGGATCTTCTTAGGGAGGCAGTGTAGTATCTAGAGAGCATGTTTCCATCTGTGAGATGATTGTGTTTACGGAGATATTTATTCAGTAGCTCCAGTCTGTTAAGTTTGCATCTCTGAGTCTGATTTAGTTGACTTCTATACATATACCAATTTAATATACTTCTTACAGCATCCTTATTAATGTGATGCTTTGTTTTTATCCTGCCCTCATAAATCCCAGTAGAGAAAATGATTAAACAACAGTTTTACCCTTTGGAAGTACAACTAGGTTTTGAGTCTGTGTTATTTTTTGAAGAATTTAGTTTGGGGGTTCATTGTTTATAAAGGCATTTGCTGAATTGAGTAAATTTTATTATATGGTAAAATTCCAAAAGCAAGCATTTCAATTCAACTTACTTGATCTTCTGAAAATACTATTAAACTTTAGGAAAAACCAAATTCTTAAAAATATGAATGATAAACCAGTTGCTTTTTTTCTCCCGCACTGGAGATTAAATCCAGGGCCTTGTACATTGTAGGCAGGCCACACCTTTCATCCCAGCAACCCAGATATGTTAATATACAGTCAAACTTTATGAAGAGTAAAGCACTCTATAGTTAGAGCAGGGCTTCTCTGAAGAAGCGGATTATCTTGGTCATTCTGTGGCTGCAGAATGTACTTGGAAATTGTGATTTGCTGAGTGTCTGTGGGGTCCTGCTCTGCCCGGTCTAATATGCCCAGGCCTACTGTGGCTTTTCTTCTGAAATGTACTTTTTCTCTTGGCAGTCATTCCCACTTTTACCAAAGATAATCAAAGACTAATTTGTAGGTAGAATGAGTTTAGCCTCATCAAACTTGGCCTGATTATTTGCGCAGGTACAGAAAAGATATAGATTGATCACACAGATTCTTTCTAAGTTTGCTTTGCTGGAATATTTGATAAAGAATCTCAGGTTGGACTGTTAAAAGCCTCTCAAGACTAGGAAGCCAAACCAGTTAAAATTCTTATTACATTTATACAAATAACTATATTACCATGAAAATAAGAATGTATATGAGTAGTTTCCAAATTATGGAACAGTCAGGTATAAAGAAATGTTTGAGTTTTTACTCATAAGAATGTACCTGAATAGCTTAAAGGTTTCCCCAAATCTGAAAATAAGACATTAGAGAAAACAAAGCTATTATAGATTGCCTTCATTACTCAGATCCATTTATTTTTCTTTTTGAGGGGGAAGAGGAGGGCTTTTGGTTTTTTGAGAAAGGGTCTCACTATGTAGTTGAGGCTGGTCTTGAACTCAGTATGTAGCCCAGGCTGGCCTTGAACTCACAGGGATCCTCCTGCCTCAGCCTCTCGAGTTCTGGGATCCCAGCCATGCGCCACCACATGCAGCCTCACGTATTCCTGATCTTGATTAGAAGTTTCCTGAAGCCATCAGTTTCTTCATTGGAGTTTGGGATATTTTTACCTAGTCCGATGGTATCTTAAAGTTACCAGAAATTTATAATCAGAAGCCAGGTGCGGTGGCACACTTATAGTCAAAAGCTGGGTCCTATAGTCCCAGCTGCTCGGGAGGCTGATGCAGGAGGGTGGGTCCATTGAGCCTGGAAGTTCAAGAGCAGAAAGGCAGCATAATGAGACCCTGTCTCAAAAGCAAATAAACTTGTGTTTGAGAATACTGAGTCTCCTTAAAGAAGTAGCAGTTTTGGACTATAGGCTATTGCAAATGATCTTAAAGAAAAATCAAAATGATAATTGTCCATGGAAGACAAAGACTTTGAATGGCCACAGTTAAAAATCTGAGAGTCCATTATAGCCTACAACTCATCAGCAAATTTTGCAATTTGGGTGACATACGAGATTTTAACGTAATCAAAATTTATGATTGACACCATCTTAATATTATGAGAAATCTTACATAATTTTTGAACACTCATGTCAATAACATACCCAACGATAACTTTAAAGATTTGTCATCACTTATTGACAGTGCTTCTCATGTAATTTAACATATTAAATAAGCCTAATTAGTTTAATCTCTCTCTCCTACAAGGTGAGAGACATCCTTTGAGCTTTCCAGGGCCCAACTGGAAAAATCCCAAAGTTAATTTGAGGTCAAGAATTTAGAACTTGAGGGGCTGGGGATGGTAGAGCACATGTTTAGCATACATCGGGCTTGGGTCCAGTCCCCAGCAAGGGAGCATGGAGAAATTTGCCAGAAGTATCAAAAGGCTTTAAACACTTGATCAGGGCTGGGTGTGTAGCTCAGTGGTAGAGCACTTATCTAGAATGTGCCAAGTCCTTGAT